AATCCGAGGGAAATATTTACAAATATTCATAGGGACCTTGTATTCTTATCATTTGTCATTTATGTCAATCCATTTATATTGCACCGATATCTGTTGATAAGTTTCTGTCACTCGCGCTTGACTCGCGCTTCTTGGCAACAGTTTTAACGAAATGTTTATTTATATGTGCGAACCGATAATTTGACATGCGCATTATCATTGCCACGAGATCGACCAAAAATATATTATTACAGAATATCTTTAGATATTACTTACTTTTATAATATAATAATAGACTATGACGATCTCCTAAGTTGAAATTTAACAACACACACGACATGTCTTTTCCTCGATTTCGCCGCTATTGACGCATCTTTAATCTCTCCGTAAATTCCGCTCAAGTGGGGCGATAATTTGTCCGTCTATGACTACATCAATGACATCATTGAGATTAAAGCGAGATCGCGTGAGTGACCGCGCGCCCTGTTATCGGTATTGCAAAACTAACGCATGATTATAAAGAAGCGCATTAGAGGGGAGACGAAGACATTCAGTGGAAAGTACCATCGAAAACATGAGAATAAAGAGATGGAGGGGGAGAGAGAGAGAGAGAGAGAAGAGGAGGAAGAAACACAAAAAAATGAAAGAAAAAGAAAAAAAGACGAAAAGTTCAATCCTCCCCGCCGATATTTTGCCGTCTTCACCGCAGCTTCAGAATGCAACGGATGGCACAGTAAACATAAATCTCACGCCTACGTACGAGATTATCTCAAAAATGAAATCTTTAACGACAGATCTCATGCGAATCATATCGCAAGTAAACAATAATATTAGCGCGCTCGTCGGAGAGTAACAATAACGGTGTAATAATTCACGAGGCTTTCGACCTGACGTTCTCATACAATAAGCAATGATATCGAATAAAGCGAAATACCGTGTGCGTAAAATTTGCTGCCGTAATTCGATACAATAGCGGTGGCCGCAGATCATTCTGCTCGTGTGATCTTCGGGATAAACGCAATCGACGTAAGAGGCAGAGCACGTGTAAATTTCGCCGCGCACTCGATCCCGGCCGCATGCAGATAATCCTTATCTTCGCCGTTCGCCGATTTGTAATTATTTTTAGAGACGCGCGCAATTACGCGTCGCGAACTGAGAGAAAGGGAGAGAAAAGAGTCCGTCCAATTAGATGTACAGAGAAAAATCGCCGCGTCGATGTCACAACAAACGCAAATCGTTTGCGAGGTCGGCTGTAAGTGCGATCTCACTGCTCATGTTATATATATATATATATATATATATATATATATATATATAAAATATCGAGACACGAATTTGTCGTGTATAATATATGAAGCATTATCTATGAATATAATAATTTATGTAATTAGATACCTGCGACGATAACATCATAGCGATGCACGTTTTGTATACAGTTGCGCGCATGGCCAGTGACAAAAATGATTTACGATGACGCTGCATCCAAAAAAGTATAATTTTAGTTTTAACGGATATTCTCTTATATATGGAGATAGAGGATTCCTTTAAAATCAAAAGGAAAATATTCTAATACTCCAAAAGAGAAGAATTCTAGTTTTGCAAGATATTATTTCCTGTAATGTCATATTCTAAATATTTTTCTTTTAAATGAAGAGGGATGTAATTATTTGGAGCAGAATGCTCTCTTACCAGAAGAAATTTCTGTCACAAGATTTCTAGATAAAAGACGAAATTTTTCTAACTTTAAGAATATTGTGCTTATATATTAATATTTTAATTTATTATAAATATTTTTCTTTTGGTCTTAGAAGAATCTTCTCGAGACCATATATAAGAGAATATCTATGAATATAAGAATGTTTTTTTAGTGTCATCTTTGAAATTCCGCGTAGAACTATCGCTTCGCTGCATTGCCAGAAACAGTTGCGACTACTTTGTGCATTATCGCAAAATTGACGAGCCTTCTATCGCTAGTCGAGTTTCTCGCAACGCAGCGAGAGTCTCGAAATGTAAATCCGCGTGATGGACAAAAGAGCGGGATTAGTCAGTGCTAATAAAATCTGCTCGCAATGGACGAACAATTCGTCGTGGCGCATTCTTTGTTCCGACGTTGATAAGACGTGAACGAGGGTAAGAAAGCATTGATCCCAATGACGCGGAGAGTTGTCTCTTTTTTTCTCTCGTCGATAAAGCAACAAGGGAAAGAGACGCTCTCTGACGTGTACACATTTAAATGTAATCGTGCGGCCACGATCTTCTCAATTTCCTCTCGCACTTCATATGCGATTGATCGATGAGCACATAATGCATTACGCGAAGCTAAGTTATTGACCTCCATCTACGGATCGACGATACGAGAATCACGTTATTGTACTGACGTTACCTTAACACTTTGCCGACTAGCTCGCCTCTTTGCTCGTGCAATCATTCGTGAAGAATTTGTGGACCTTACATTGTAATTTTTCTTAAATGTCTGTTGGATACTTTCTGAGATTGATATAAATTAAATAAAATTGATATTCGCTGGTCAGTTTGGCGATTTAATTTTAATTTCGTCTTGGTCGGTGAAGTGTTGAGCTGTATCTCTAAGTCCAACTGCTGACTGATCGTTGTTAAGTATTTTACAAATGAACAGGGCCGTCATTCGCCATGATCGAGTAGACAATGGCAGTTGACGTCCCAGCATGCTCGTGAAACTCTCGTAAATGTGCCTTAACTTGCCGTGTCGCATGTTAGCTCAATGCGTGCTCGCCTGTCGTTGTAAGCAGCGTCTATCACTGACTAACAAGGACTAACTGTGGACACATAGAACCCCGTAGCTGCGATCATGGGTTTCAATCAGGGTGACACCGTGATAACTTGCGACATATTTTTTCAGTAAGATTTTTACGCATATATTTAGTTTTCTAGAGTGATATCATAATATTGACCGTTAAATTTTTTCTTGTCAAAATCCGACGTATCAGAAAACACGAAAAATTTGATTTTTCAACAGTTCAAGCTTAGATTTAAATCTAAGTTTAGACTCGGGTATAACAAGGTGATTTTAATGCATTTAAACAGAGTTTAGATTTAAATCTGAGCTTAAATTATTATTAAAAAATTGACTTCAAGAAGAAATAAAGCTGTTAAAAAAAAGAGGAAAATAATCTTTACGACAAAGAGAGAATGTCGATTGTTCGAACACGGCAAATTACGCACAAAAATATTCGCGGAGAGTCGTTCCGCGCGCATTTGAAGGGATGGATCGTTCTCCCTTCACGGATGATATAACGGCCGTCTCGTAACGGATATACACCACCTGTAATCTACACGATAGTTACCATGTCAACCTCGAACACTTAGTTAGCACGCGATAACATCGAGTTACGGGCGAGTGTTCCAAGTTCGCGCTACACACGTGCTCGCGATAACATGCGATAATAACACACCGGTTGTAAAATACCGGCGCATCTGCATTAATTAGAATCGCGGGAAATTGGCGCGCTCCCTCGCGTTCCTCACGATGTTACCCTGGCAGCAGTGTTAATTAATCAGCTTGCAACTAATATCCGAGGACGTACTTACAACCTGGGCAGGGGAGCATGCACTATTCACGTGTACTGTACATGTGTATATGTGTCGTAGCATTAAGACCCTGTATCCGCCGTGTATTAAGACCTACGTTATTATATAAATATGTATACATCCTCTTACTCACTGTACACCCGTATCGCATCGCGGCGCAGTCTGACTGTACATAGAATTAGACACGCCGACGAGAGACGATGTCACTAACGTTTTACAAGGAATGTATGTGAATAGACGTCATTTTTTTTGCAAAGTCGTTGCATTTTGTCATTTTTTTCTCATTCTCTTTCTCTTTCTACATAACACACACACCCACATATACACACACACAACATACATACATACATACATATATATATATATATATATATATATATATATATATATATATATATATATATATATATATATAACTTTTTTTCGGCCTATCTTTCTATTGTCTCATCCACATACATCATCTACACCTCTGAGTCTGTAAATACTGCTCGTAAATTCCGCAATTCTCGAGCCTGTTTTTTGTGTATTGTTCCCTTTTCGTTTTAACGTACGTACCTTCGTATATGTGCCTACAGTATAGTTCTAGAGAAAAAATGCACCTTCATGCGCGTGTGGCACTCACTAGTAACTCACACACCCACATATCATAGTTCCATGCTCCATGTACTTGGTGAGTACGTTTTTTTTAACTTCGCAGATACAGCGTGCAAGCTTAACGTCGATTGTAAACGAATTTCTATCTTTGTATTTTCGAAATGAACGTATTATTTGAATTTGTGTGCATGTATAATTATAACGTGCATCAAAATTAAATTTTTAAACTGCGAGACTCATTCGTGGAACTCATGCGGAACTTGACATCAGACTCGCTCGCTGTATCGTAATTTGCTCGCGTTTTGTTTACTGCATGCATATGTTTGTAGCGCTTTTGCAACATGCTTGCCTTGCTTGGATTAATCGCTCGCAGTTCCGATAACAATCCTCGTTTCAGTCAATATTTTTAACATACATGTTCACATTCGTAGCTATGTCTTGCAATTAATAAAGTATCGTTAACGCGTGTTCATTTGAAATGTCCATATAAGACAACAACAAACAATGAAGAACTAACAATTATACTAAGATCTACTCACGAAACGTTGTGTTTGATGAACATAAAAAATCACAACCTTCTTATAACTTCTAATCGCGGTAATTCTAAAAATAATCGTAACAAAGCAAAGAACAGTCGTAAAAATAATACGATGTATCAATTGTATAACACATGTAGGCATGATCAGAAGCTAACAAGTTTTCGAAAAGACTACTTCACCCTCGCACTGCCTGAAGGATCTTAAAAGACAATAATAATACCCAGATCGCATCTCAAGCGTCTGAAAATGAAACGATCATAACTGATCTGATCGTAACGCAAGTTTGTCAGGAACATAACGACACCCTGTTAATTGTTGCAGACAACCCTTTACTCAGCATACCACCGGCGGAATCGATACCGCCGCAGGCGATAGTCCAACCGCCACCTTACGTCGCTCCACCGCCACCTGCGGAAGACCAGCAGAAGTCGCAAAAGTATCAGGAGATTCTGAAGGACTCGCAGCCGAGTCTACAAGCATATCCCGACAACGAGAAACAGCAACTGATCACAACTGAGCGAAAGCAGACTTATTCGCAGGATATCTACGATCCTCGCCCGAACATCCAGCAATATGACAGCTGCAGGAGTCTCCTTGAACAACCTCCGCAGCAGCGGATGTCGAACTATGAGTACCAACGAGCGACAAACTATCAGACAGTGCACATGCACAACGCGAGGAACCAGCAGCTCTGCTCGTCGGGCAGAGACATCAACCAGCAGTTCTACACCTTGCCGACGAGGAGACCTCAACGAGAGGTCGATCCGCCGCGCAGCGTCACACCGGACATCACGAGAGGTCTAGGACGCGGTTCCCTTAGCGGGATGCATGTAATGGCAAAGCAGGGTCAGATGATCGCTGAGAACGAGCAAGCCCGATACGGCTCCTATGCGGATTTAGGAAGCAGGAACTTGGAGCAGCAGGAGGCGCGGGGCAGATATGTGCAGAGTCAACCGCAGTCGGTTGTGGATGTCAGAAACAGGTTAATCGTGTTTTCCTTTAATGACTCTATCATTTATATGAGATCGAGATGTTATCGAGACGCAGTAATTACATAATTGCCTAAATTATCTTCTCCATCTTCATTGTGTGAAAAAAAGTACCTTTATTTCATGAGAGCATAGATCATTGAACATTGAGTTCATTGAGGAAACTCACTCGGCGCTAACAATAAGTAATTGCGATCGATAGCTATACAATATTGAGTGTCTTATTATCTTTGAGCAGGTTCGCAACGCCTCTAAGCCTAGCTGCACTCGGATATCGATTCTTCGCATCCTCGCCCGCCAATGATCCTCTTACGAAGTCTCCTAACGCGGACATCCTCAAGAATAATCAAATTTCGCCGATCGGCCCTGTCTACGGTAACAGTTTCAAATCGTCCACTCCCACTGGACGATCGGCGCCAACTGTAGCGGAACGTCTAGCTCTAACTGCTGCTGATAATTGCGCATCGCCAGCACCAAGCTCCTCCGGTAGAAGCACTCCTGTCCAGACCTCTTCCGGTAGAAATACACCAACGAATCTAATCCTGTCGCCCACTAAGAGTACCATGTCTAACGAGGAATTGTTCGCCGCGATTCACAAGTCCAAGAAGCGACTCAACATCAAACTCAACGAGGATAATGAAAATTTGTCACCTCACGGTTCAATGAACTCCTTAGTGAAGACACCGGCTGGCACCAGACACAGTTGGAGTCCGGAATCTCAAAAAGCTCCAGAGGTAATCACGGAGGACGTTCGTATTTCTTCATGATCATGCACTCTCTTAAAATGAATCAGTGAAACATCACTGAAAACAGTGAATATACACTGATTTGCAGTTGTAAGTGTGAAAGTGCTCAGTGCTATACTTATAACTAACAATAGAGAAGAAGTAGAAGTATAGCACTGAAAGTGCTCAGTGCTATATTTATAATTGATATCAGTGAGTATTCACTGATTCACTTTAAGAGAGCACGGAGAGATTTTTATAGTAAAAATTATATCTGTAACATTTTAAATCGAGTAATAAATCGACATTCGGTAGTCATTTATTATCCTTTTATTTCGTATGTAACATTTATGCTTTAGGAACTAAAATGTGCTATTATAAAAATTACTATGTTCCTTAACAAAATCGATCTTGCTAACAGTCTATTCCTATTATTAGAAACATAGTAAAATTGCAAAGAATTTATATGAAAAAAATTATAATATTTTTTCCGTATAATTCGTTTCAACTAATTCGCTCGTCTTTTTCAGATACCGACCACTGTTCAGTCGCCTACGTCGCGAATGGACTTCAAGCGTTTGCTCCTTCAGCAAAGCGTGAAGACGGGTCCTATGCGACGATCAGCGGCGGAACAATTACAACTATCGCGTAACCAGTGTCAGCAACAACAGCAACAACAATCATCGCCGACCGCCCATCAGAGTCCTTTGGCCAAGGTTCTAAGTCCTCGCTCGGTCTGGAGGTTTCAGACGCCAAGAACAGATGTACTTTCCTCTACCATAATCGAAGACACCGCGGCGGAGGAGAAAGCCATGAAACCTTCACCGGAAAACACCTCACCTATCTCAAGGCTGAACTTCAAGAGGCAACTAGACCTCTGCTGCGACTTACCGACTCATTTGCGTCTCGTTGATCGCGAGACGACGAACAAAATGCCGACGAACGAACTCGATGCTGATTTCACGACAAAATCGCGAAATCAAAGCGACAAAATGCAGAACTTAGTTACGAGTGTATCTAACAATCCAGCACGAATTGCATCTCCTGCGAAGAGTACAACAACCGTCCAGGACACTACAACCTCGCGTCCTCAAATTACCGCCACCAATACAACGATGCAGTATTTGCAGACTACATTGTTGACCGAATCGAAAAATCTAGATCCTGTGAGCGCTTTCGAGTCGAGGAGACTTAGCAATCAATTGGCGAGAGCTCAGTTCCTGGCGACTGCACCTACGAGCACCAATCAGGCGCAGAATTCCTACTTCAAAAAGAGATTTAGAGCGAGATCGGAATCACCCCAACACGCTGCGACACAAAATGTAACGCGTAGCCCAAGTGCGCCTACTCTCGAGACGGCTCTGTGATCTGGGAATGTTAACTAGCACGACTAGCATCTCGTGCAAATGTAGAAATTTAGCTCTTCATTATTGTGGTGATTTTGTGCTCATTTTCTCTCTCCCAAAAATATATTAACATTACTTACATTTAGTTAATTTCAAACATTAGACGATTTAATATTTATATATTTAATATATATACATAATATTATAGACATATCTATATAATAGATATGTTCTATACATATATATTAAATAGATATACATACATATTAAATAGATAGATATATTATACATATATATTAAGGCTGCATTCCGATATTCACTATCAGTATTGAAAATCTATAATATACATAACATGAACTATAGATTTTCAATACTAGCAGTGAATATTGGAACAGTCTAAATATGAAGATCATATAAATTATTAATAGAAATAATCGATCTTCAATGAATTGATTAGTAACTTAATATATTAATACAAAATTAACGTAAACAATTATCTGTCGTAATGTTTGAAAACAAATTATTTCTATTCATATTAGTTTAACATCCTCCACTGAAAATCTTATAATAATTTTCTCATCTACCACACTAATGAATAGCTAATATAGTAAGAACGATTGTGTCTTGAATATCTAAATTTATTTGGGGAGTTTTAACACGACGCGACATTCGTTAATTACAAGCAGTTTTAATCGAGACGAGATAACGTTACGATTCGTGTCTGCTAAAAGACAATAATTCCTAACCGTGATATATGGTAATAATGCGGAAATTAGTATTACCCAGTATTGCAGGGCTTTGCGCGTGAAGTTGAAAAATTTAGAGCAAGAGCGACTCAAGTATAAATTGCATTTTATCGATTCGAAAGCTCAAGTCTTTATAATACGCGTCCGATTATTGCATAATTCTCTCAAATTATTGCGTATCGCTGCTAAATCTCATATACGTAATTCAATCAATAAGCAATATAAAGATAAGATATTGTCGACGCCAATAATCTCAAAACATCGCGTGTACCTATTTAGTTTAATTATTTTATGAACGAAGTTTACAGCGTTTAAGCAAATTTTATATTGAGCCGACAACGATTCCCGTCTAAATATGACGATATCGTATGTCTCGTATTTTCTTTTTTTTAATATCAAACTTAATAACCAATCAAACTTTCCTCTCTTTCTTTTCAGTGAAGAAAGCAGATGGATCTTTGCTCGATCTCAATGCTCACAATCAGTTTTTAGAAATCAGAGGATGTGAAAGGAATATTAACAGCTTTATACTAATATATTCTTGAACAAGCAAGACGAACGTTATGTTAATGCACAAGAGTTCGTTCGCGAAAGACCACTTGTAACTCGAAAAAAGAACATGACGAAACTCACGTTCGTAGTTCTAGTAAGAACCTAAACGTTACCTTAATTCAAATCGAAATATTATGCAGTATTTTTTAACGATTTGGGCTATATTAATTTATTCACGGGAGTTAAGAGAAGTATATATGTGTACACAAATAATCAAGAGTCGCGAAGTTATACACGGTGAACCGTAAATCGTGTATCATATGTATAGATAAATTGAATATGCGAAACTGTATGTTGTGCTACAAATTGTGATGCGTTTTTGAAGTGATCACTGCCGATATATATATTTTCGAATTGTTATATAAATAATAGAGAAAAATGTTTCATGCCCGATCTCTCAGATGATCCTCCCAATATTTTGCTACAAACGATATAAACGGAATAACACCGAATGTGCGATTCACGGTTCACCCCACGATATTCGCGAGCGCGCACTAATAGTCTCGGATAATCACCAATGACGCCAACGAGCTGATCTTAGAGGTTTTTATCGTTAAGATATTAATTTATTTGCCAACTTCGATGGCAGTCTAACTCTCGCCAAGCGCTTTGGCGAAACTTGTATATAATAACAGAAAGTATAGTCGCAGCCGATTTTTTAAATCTTGATCGCTTGCTAGTCTAGTCGGGGTAGAATTTAGTAATACGTACGTGTAGCGTTTTAAAGATTTTCTTTTGTCTTTTCTTTCTGGAGGAAAAAGTGCCGTTAATCCGAAATCGCGCGAGACAAGTTTGTAATTATACTTACGATTGATCGGCTTTGTAGTTATATCGAGCAGCGCATAGGAAGATTTATACCGTATGTTATAGTCGAAACCCGGAGTGCAGCAAATTCGCAGAATATTCGGCCAATTCCAGATTTGGCCGACTACATTAGCCAAAGTCCGAAACATGTGAAGTACTCATAATCGTTTCGGACTTTGATCAGTAAAATATGGCGCCATTTCTAGAATTGGCTTCAACTTGCTGGCTACAGCTTGAAACATTATATTTGTATTTATAGTTTCCCTCCAATTCTACTTCTCGATGTAGCCGACAGAATCAGCCAAAGTGTGAAGAGTGCAGCCAATTTACGAAATGGCTGATCTCGGGTTTTGATCGTAGCATATATATATACTTATATTATAAAAATATATACACGCGAGAAAAACTAATAATATGTATAGCGTGACGACAGAGTTGCCTTAATTAAATTATTTCTCAAATTACGTCGCGTGATTGTCGACGACGTATTTATATCGGTTATTTGCGAGACACCATGAAAACAAGAGTAACTTTGCAAACCTAACTTACTAGATCATAAGCTGAAAAAGTGTTTTATACTTTGCTCAGAATAAACGGAGTTATTTCGTCAACAAAATGCCTACTTTTATCGCGTATTCACCTTATTAAACATATGAAAGTTCAAAATCTCTGACTCAATTTGAATTACATAACTTAAAACATAAAATTCTTGAAAGTTTCGGAGACGAATAATTTTAAAAGTTTTGAATATTTCAAAGTTTTTGAACAATTTTTGAAAAAATTTTGAATATCATTATATACAATTACTACCATCATATATAATATCATATATTACCACATGCAGTATGTTACATTTATTATGTGTATAGTACATTTATAGATATACTGGAATCTATTATTAGTATATAAATATCCTAGAGATAGAATGAAATGTCCTATAATTATCCTGAATCTAGGATGTGAGGACTCATTTCAAACATATGACTAAATAAAAATGCTTAAAACTTTTAAATGCTTCAAAGTCTTGAATGTGATCAATTTTACCATCATATAACCTATAAAGTACATTACATTTATATGTATATCATATAGTATATCTATAGATGTACTAGAATGTATTATCAGTATGTAGACATCTCAGAAATAGCACAAAGTGTTCCAGAATCATCCTGAATGTGTATAAGATATCTCAGGGAAGACTCGTTTCAAACCTATGATTTGAAATAAAAAATTCTTGAAATTTTTAATACATTGAATAATTTGAAAGTCTTGAACATCTCAAAAAACCTTGAGTGTGATCAATTATTGCCATTATATAATTCTTGCAACACATTACCTTCATATGTGTATTATGTAATATATCTATAGGTAAATTAGAATCTATTTCCATATGTCAATACATCTCAAAGACATTCTAGAAATATTTGATATAAGTGGAACGTCTCTAGGATTTTGGATATTTGTACTGTATAGGTTATCAATATGTAAAAATCCCAGACAGCACAAAACGTCTCAAGATCATTTTGAGTATATCCAGGATGTCCTGGGAAGTCCCTTAGAATGTGTTGAGTGCGTCTAGAATAATTTCTGGACATTTTGCATGATCTCCAATTTAAGACAATATATTTCTTTAAAGATACTCAACAATCTTTGTCAATCACAGTACTTACTCGTATTTGAAGTATCACTGAACATTCTGCGAAGAAATCTCGCCGTGTGTCGTGGTACAACATCGTCGCCGACAATGAATATCTCGCAGAAGGCAACGTCATTACGTCACGATGCACAGCTCAAATGCTGCACTTCGATCTAGAAAGAGTCGGCACATGATCAATAAGCTTTATCACTAAGCTTGTTAAAAATGAATTCGGAGCGTTTGTCACGAGACCAAATGTTCTCCAAAAGACGCCAAAGTAAATATATCGCGCAACGGACTGCCGGAATGCCGTGAAAATTTTGTACACTCGTCATAGGATCCGTTCACGGAGACGCTATTTAATGCTACTGCGTTGTTCTATCTTTATTGTTCTTTATATGTACAACAAATAGCGATATAAAATTCAAATACGTATTTCGAGAGCGCTCAAGAGAGTGTAATGCGCAATTTATCAGTAAGACCGCCGAAAGGAAGCTTGGCGCGTTTATTGTGATCGTCGTAAAAACGTCAAGAGTAAAAATGTCGCGGGACGGATCGCTCGGATCGCCACCGAGAATTTCACACAAACGTCGTATGAAGACGATGCGGAGTTCAAATATGCATTTCTCACCTTCGAGCCACTCGGAAGAAACATCTGGTGCGTAATTTATCGGCGAAACTGCCACAAGAGAACTTCGTGCGGTTGTCACGACCGAACACCATCGAAGGAACGTTAATCTCGAGCGCGTCGCGAAGCGGACTGTGTCGTTCCGTTAGAGTATCAAATGAAGTATCGCGCGTTTCGGTACTTCGAGAATCGCAATCGTGCTTCCGCAGAGAAGCCCACCCAGTGCTAGAATTCTGTAACTCGTTATTGGAGTTAACGACAGTTTCGTTATTGTTGCGCGACTTTTCCACGGTATACTTTAAAAAAAATGTCACATTTTTCAATATGGTGTGCCAAGTCTTGGCACACCATATTCAAAAATGTGACATTTTTTTTGCAGTTCTGATACTCTCTTGAAAAGTTCTAGAGCTATATGCAACAATTTTAAATAGTTCCGGTCATTAAATACAAAAAAACATACTTTCAAAAAAAGGTGCGCTAAGTTCTCGCAGCGCACCTAATCAAAAAAACTATTTAAATTAACTATTTCGTTAGAGTTCCGGTTTGTTTTACAATAGTTCTAGAGTTCTATATCATATATAACAATAGTT